TGATTGATTTCCACAGCTGAAAAACAGGATTACAGCCCTGTTTTGCCACAGGAGAGAGCAGGGTGATGGATGAGTTCGCTCGGGGATTACGCTATAGATAGAGTTGTCAACAGCGGGAGTTGCTTTTATTTCCCCGTTCCCCCCACATCTGTGGAGATAACGCAAAAGCAGGGCCAATTAATTGTGGTTTCCTGGTGGCGTCTGGTTATTAAGACTCCCTCCTTTAAAGCACTTCCTCGGGCTGTAAACTGAGCCACTCGCTGCTCTGCCTCTTCGGCTTTCCGTTCCCCAGGAAAAGGGCGAAATTCTGTATCATCTACATGTGCACACGCAGATCTCCTCGGCGTATGGAGAAGCTCCAACTAAGAAGATTTTGATCCGGCTGGGAGTTGGAGGAAAGACTGCCTGGGGGCCAAAATGACATGCTACACACGGTTGTGCATAACTTCCCCAGATTTTTCTTTTCAAAACAGCTGCCAGCAGGAGGTGAGGGTCAAGGGCTGCATAACCCTCCCCTCTTTCAAAACCATCCCTCCCCCAAGGTGCTTCCCTTCTCATTGGGAAAAAGAATATAGCTCCTTGTATCTTTTCCTTAGGGACGAAGGTGGCGCTGTGCGTTAAACCACAGAGTCTAGGACTTGCCGATCAGAAGGTCGGCAATTCAAATCCCCATGACGGGGTGAGCTCCCGTTGCTCGGTCCCTGCTCCTGCCAACCTAGCCGTTCGAAAGCATGTCAAAGTGCAAGTAGATAAATAGGTACCACTCTGGCGGGAAGGTAAACAGCGTTTCCATGCGCTGCTCTGGTTTGCCAGAAGTGGCTTAGTCATGCTGGCCACATGACCCAGAAGCTGTACGCTGGCTCCCTCAGCCAATAAAGCGAGATGAGCGCCCCAACCCCAGAGTCAGTCACGACTGGACCTAATGGTCAGGGGTCCCTTTACCTTTACTTTTATCTTTTCCTTAAAGGGGAAAAATTAATAGATGGGTACAGCTGAGTGGGAGAAACAGTTTAATGGAAAGGACCGAGCAGTTGCTTTTCTTCTACTTTTCTCAAAATCGCAGTTGTCCCGTGATGGCTTTTTCCATTTAAAAGAGGCCAATGGGCAGAGATGATGGGAGCTTTGGTTCAGCAATATCTGGAGGCAGCCCTGTATAGGGAAGATTTGATGTTTTACTGCGCTTAATGCCAGTCAGATGGCCGCATATAAATAACAAATTGTTATCGTATTTACTTGAGTCTAATGCGCCATTGGATCTAACGCACACCTCAATTTTCAGAACCTTGAAACCCAAAAAAGTATTGGCTGGTGAATGTAAATGGGCCATCAAATCTAATGTGCACCTTAATTTTCACAACATAATTTGGCCAAAAAAGGTGAGCGTTAGATTTGAGTAAATATGGTATTATTATAGTGAAGGCTCTTGCTTCCATGACTTTCTTGTGGGCTTCCTGAAGGCACCTGCTTAGCCACTGTGGGTAACAAAACCACCAAGCTAAGTAATCTGGAACCCTGAGCAGGAGCATTCCACACTGCAACACATTGTAGTAGCTCCAACTCATTGGCAATCTATGTAATAATGCCACACAATCCCCATTTCTTTCTACTAACTGCTAGAAACCAAAACCATCCATCAGGATGACAACTCAATGCTCTCCTTCAAAGACCAAGTGAAAACACCTCAGTTTCACCACCTGTTGTCTTTTACAGGGTTCGGTGATTTACAGCAATAGAGAGGAAAGTGAAGGAATAAGACCACTCAGTTGTAAAATGTGTTCTGATTTACTGCTCAGAACAACGGAGCTAGGATTTCTCACCTACCACTCGTGTGATCTCTCAAATCCCTGCTGCCCAGTTATTAGAGTAGTGGTGAACAGGAGCAGGTACCTGCAGATATGGAAGCCCTGCATGAAGTTTAGTGGTGCCATAGGATTACCCCATAAACCACACCCTTTGAAAGTTTCAGAAAGGTGTTTGGAATGTGTTCTCAGAATGCTGTTGTGGAAGCTGTATGCGATCTGGCTTGTTTGTTCCTTTTAGCGGCTTGTAAGAGCCATGCGGTCTGAGCTTGCAGCAACCAGCTCAGGCTTTACATGTTGAGCTTCATGTACCGTATTTTTCGCTCTATAAGACGCACCGGACCACAAGATGCACCATATTCTGAATCTCAGAAGCCAAAACAGCAAGAGGGATCACTGCGCAGTGAAAGCAGCAATCCCTCTTGCTGTTCTGGCTTCTGGGATAGCTGCACAGCTTGCATTCGCTCCATAAGATGCACTCACATTTCCCCTTACTTTTTAGGAGGGAAAAAGTGAGTCTTATAGAGCAAAAAATATGGTAACCAACATGCTTAAGTCTAATCCTGCCAGGCTTAGCTAGGTCATCCCATCTCGCCTTGGGAGGAAGGTAATCAAGCCTATTGTTGCACCTTAGTCTACCTGAGAAGCTCAATGTGTCATGTCTGAGCTGGATGCTCTAAGCTTCGATTGCATGGCTGTTGCAAGTCACTCTTGAGTTCCTATACCAATGGTTTAGGAACTTTCACCACTGTAACTAAGCAAAGTTTTACTGCCTCTGCAACCTATTCTGAATGATGTACAGAAAAGCACATGAACCTGACTTTTAAAGAGTTTGTAAGTAAACCAAATTTTAACTTACCAAACGTGTGGTCTTTTCCAATGCTGGGGAAGAGGGAAGTTTTGGAATTCACAAAGGCATATTTTAAAGGTTTAACAACCTATATTATGTTTTACCTTGCTGCATATTTTGTGATTTTAACTCTCTGGTGGTGTTCTCTCACCCAAGAGTACTTGCCCCAAACCTGGATCTTTGCATCCAAGGACTTCTTCTATATTTATACCTGGTTTTTTTCCTTGCACCAACACCAAGTAAATGGTTAAATGTGCAGACAACAACAAAGAGGGGCACATGCAACCGATCCGTGTGCCTCTCTGTGTGTGCCGGGCTATTATTACATCAAACCTCTGCGACAGGTCAGCATGGCAGGTTAATGCACTTGGAGAATTTTTCATGAAGATTTTTTGACTTGGTCACAGCTTGGATTCATAGATCATCCATTAGTCACAGATGTCAGCAAGAGTATCAAAAGTATTAAAGGTCACAAGAAGAAGAAGAGGTCACCTGTCCTAGGGAGGAATCTTGAATGCAATAATGCATCGCAGAAGGGCTCTCCATTGGCTGGCTGCAGAGTTAAAATTACACCCGGCCTTGCAGTTCTCCGTGACCCTCCCTCATAAGGCTTGAATTTATGCACACAGATTGATTCAGCAACATGCCTACTCTGCATTTTGTACAGCTCTTTTTGAGTGTTTGGAGCAGACATCGGCTCAGAAATCCTTCCTGAAGCCCTGTAATCACATAAGAAGAGTCTTGCTGGATCAGGCCTAGGGCCTACCTATCCCAGCGTCCTCACAGTGGCCAACCAGATGCCCCAGCTTACCAGAAAGACAAGAAAGTGCTGTAATGGTTGGAGTCAGCAGCAAAAAGAATAACTCACTCACGGCCAGTGAAGCTAAAGCTTTGTTCAAGGAAACAAACCACAGCTCAGGCCTAATGGTCTCAGCAACCCTTTCCAGGAGGTCTCGTCCTGATGTAGCAGTCCCGATGAAGGACTGAAGGTCCCCGCATGTCAGGGACCGTGCTGAGGAGGGCTGCACTGAGGAAGAATGTTGGTCCTGATCCTGATCCTGAACCTTCCCAGGAGCAGGAGGACAGCATAGATTTGGAACAGTGGTTTGCAGAGGGGCATAGTTCAGAAGGCAGAAGCTGGGAAATACTGGATGGGGGGGGGGAAAGCTAGCAGAAGAAACACTAGAAGAGAGTTAACAAATTTTCAGTTTCTGGATAGTATCCAACCCCCTTCCTTAAAGTCCTGGAGAGCTCAGAAAGTTTCAGAACAGAAAGCGCAGCGGCTACAAGCTCAGATTACAAGGCATAGGAGTGACGTAGATTAATAGGGATGGAGGAGTGAGTGACCTTAATTGGGAGCACCGGCATTCTGGTTAGAGGCTTACTTTTGTCCTTCGCTGTCTTTATTAAATAAATTAACTGGTAAGAATTCCCTTTCGTTTGATCTGTTCATTTATGGCCACGGGGGAGGAAGCAGATTCCCCAAAGCCTGACACCGCCTTCCCAGTGTCCTCTAGAACTCCTCCTCTCCAGGGTGTTTCCCATGCAGTCTCTAGCTGCGTGTGTACACAACCACCTTCTGCTCTGCCAGTTTCATTTCTCTGTGGGTTCTGGGAGAGCAGCGGGGAGGGGAGCTGATTGCAGCAGCGGGGGAAGACTCCCTTGATTCTTCAGCAGCTGCCTCTTGGCCCCACTCCTCACCAGCCTCTGCTTCCGCCTCCGATTCTGGACTGCTCTCGGCCACAGACTCTCCTAGCTCACTAAGTCCTGTTACCTCTTCAGCTTACAACACCTCCTCCTCCCAGTCTGCTCCTTCTTCTCCCTCTGACCACTCATCATCGTCCCACCACCAGTCCCCTGGCTCTGAGTCTTCTTCCCCTGTGGGTTCTCTTAAGTGTTGCCTGGCTGGGCCTCTCACCACTCTTCAGCATCCAGGCAGTTCATGACAAGTAGAGAAAGAAAGAAAGAAAGAAAGAAAGAAAGAAAGAAAGAGAGAGAGAGAGAGAGAGAGAGAGAGAAAGTCAGGGAAGGGAGAAGAGTGAAAGATGGAGATACACAGTCTTAAATTTAGGGGGGGGGGGGATAGACTTGACACAGATCTGACACCAAAAATGGTAGCCCTGTGTCAAATTATTTCTTACTGTCCTGTTACATTTAGCTAAACGCTTTTGTGTTGTTTCTTCAACTCCATTCAGTGTTGTTGGCTTTTGCTGTTAAGGAAGTTGTAGGGAAACAGCATGGGTACATCTAACTAAATGATACAGGAGGCAAGAAAGCAACAAAGGATGCCTCTCTTCAGGGACATTCCTGTGTCAAGTGTCACGTCTTGTTCCATCCTTAACTAGGGGAAGGGATAGCTGATTGGTTAAAGCACCTGTTTTCCATGCAGACTATCCCAGGTTCAATCCCCGACATCGCCAGTTAGGGCGGGGAGAGAGAGAGCCACTGCCGGTCAGTGTAGACGACGTCACTTGTTATAAGGCAGCTTCTTACCAAAACTGGAATGGCCTGCAAGATAGTGAGGCATCGTAGAGATTGGAGCCGGTTGACCATCGATCAACAGAGATGTGAAGAGATTTCCGGCGACTGGCATTTTCTTATGCCCCAGTGTGAAAGATAATGGATCAAATGGGAAATCAATGGGAAATACGACATTTTCTCCAGTGCCTGCTTCAGAGTGCATTACACCAAGGTTTTTGGTTCCATTATTACGATGATATATTGCTGGAGGTGGGCAGGGAATGAGCATCGGAGGAGGAAACTTAACTCGACACAATTTCTATTCATAGTTTTGCTCGTGCCGGGAATGACTCCTAAGATATGTACGAATATTTCCCCACTGCCAACGCTGCCGCAAGCCATTCTTTTTGGAGAGTGTGAAATCAGTTAGTGATTTTCTGCCTATAAAGTGGCAAGGCGAAAATTTATATGTATATCCATCTATCTGTCAGAAATCCTGGATTTCCCAAAGATAATATCAGCAGAGGATAAGATCACATCTATTACCTCTGTGTTTTGTTATGTTTTGGTTAATATTTTATGCATTGCAGAAGGATTGCCAAAGTCATTTCCAGACATGACACATGGCAGACACAACTGGTATGGACCAATCAGGGCTAAGCCATGTGCTTCCTAAAGCAGACAAGGAAAACCCAGATGGGAGCCCTGATTAGACCAGAGTGGGGAAGAGGAAATCCTCATCTACAGAGGTCGCTGTTACCCATGGATCTGGAAGTATTGCCGTTAAGAATGTTAAAAATGTTAAAAAACCAACAACACCCCACCTGTAATCAACTGGTGTTTCCAGGTAGGGGCTTAATTTGCAAAGGGGTCCCAGGGATACCGCAAATGGGTCATTGGCAACAGAGGTTTTTCTTTTTTAATAAAAAAAAATTTTAAGAATCAAATTTCCTAGAGAAAGGGGAAATCCAGATTAAATTTGGGGGCAGGATACTGGCTGATGTCTTGATGCCAATGCTGCAATCATCTTGCATGCTCAAGAAACTGGCATGCACAGGAAGTACTGATTCCACAATAAATAGCAAGTTCGCAAAACTACCTTCGTATTGCTGGGTGTCTATCAACTGCCCAAAGATGGAAAACATTATCTGAAATTAACACCTCATTATGATGGAGTAATATATGGAAAATTACAGTCCATGAAAATCTTACTGGGCACACCCGTTTTTTGAAAGGAAAATCAAAGGTAACCTCGTTGGTCTCAGTTTGGTGGGAATACAGTGGTATCTCGGGTTACAGACGCTTCAGGTTGCAGACTCCGCTAACCCAGAAATAGTACCTCAGGTTAAGAACTTTGCTTCAGGATGAGAACAGAAATCGCGCGGTGGCAGCTGGAGGTCCCATTAGCTAAAGTGGTACCTCAGGTTAAGAACAGTTTCAGGTTAAGAACGGACCTCCAGAACGAATTAAGTACTTAACCCGAGGTACCACTGTATGTTAAAAAAAAAGAGAGAAACTTTACATTTGCCTCTTCCACAAGCCTCTCAGGAAATTTGGGATAAGTAACATCTGACTGCTTGAATCAGAAAAATTATTGACGTAATATTTTATTCCTTTTATTCTTGGTACTCCTTGTGCCTCTGATAGTTTAATTCCCACACATGTGGACCTCCATTTCCCTGTCTGCATCTTATCACAAATATCTAGATAACCTGCTTTATCACTTCTTATTGTGCATGTAACATCCCATGCCAACTTTGGCTTCGTTTTGTATTTATGCATTTCTCTCATGATTTTATTATTTGGGTTATATGGAAAAATCCCCATCATGGATCATGGCCACTGGTCCCACCACCAGTGGGACAAATAGAAGGGGAAGAAATGGAGGCAGTGAGAGATTTTACTTTCTTGGGCTCCATGATCACTGCAGATGGTGACAGCAGTCACGAAATTAAAAGACGCCTGCTTCTTGGGAGAAAAGTGATGACAAACCTAGACAGCATCCTAAAAAGCAGAGACATCACCTTGCCAACAAAGGTCCGTATAGTTAAAGCCATGGTTTCCCCAGTAGTGATGTATGGAAGTGAGTGTTCTCGAAGCTACCAGCATGAGTCTGACCAAACTGCGGGAGGCAGTGGAAGACAGGAGTGCCTGGCGTGCTCTGGTGCATGGGGTCACGAAGACACGACTAAACAACAACAACAGCTGAATGCCATGAGCACACTGGAAAACTGGCACCTAAATTTCACACTGGTACCCAAGCATATTGTGCATCCAATGCATTTTTGTGTAAAAGCATTGCTTCTAGTGCCTCACGTGCCTGAAGATTTAAGGAAAGGGGAAACCGTGGCAAGCAATTTTGTTTTTGTTTTTTGTTTTTTTAATGAATAGGGCCTTTGATCTTGCAGGCTGCTCTGCATCTGAGCCTGTGCTTTTCAAGTTTGCAGATGGAGTGGAAATTCAGAGTAACCGCAGGACTCCTGGCACAGGTGATTTTTCCTGTTTTCAAAGTTGAAACTGGCAGCAGCAGCTGCTGCTGCTTCTCTCTTGAACAGGGCAGCCATCAATGGATTCGGATGATTTGTGGACAGAATGGGAGGATGGGATAGAAGCTTAAAAACTGCATGCATAGTCTTCCTAATTTATTTATTTTTTAAAGGTGCTCTCACCTACCTAGAAATTCAAACCTGCCACCAGGTCAGTTCTGGAGGTCTGGCAACCCTAATCTGGAGGGCTCAAACCCCGCTCATATGTGTGCCTTTGCGTGTGCTCGTATTGTCAACATAAGAATAACACTTAAACATTGCAAGTACTTGACTTTTCATTTACCGGTACTTTTCCTCCTTTCTTTTCCTTCCTTCCTTCCTTCCTTCCTTCCTTCCTTCCTTCCTTCCTTCCTTCCTTCCTTCCTTCCTTCCCTTCTCCCATCTGCATTGTTCAGTTAGCCTAAAGGACTCCTGCTTTCATATATTTTTCCTGACGTAAAAATTGCCTTGCTGATATATCCAGTAACTTTGCCCTCAGTTACCAGTGTTTTCGTTGGAGACCATTTCTCCAGTCCTTGTTTCAGCATGAAAGGACTTATTGATACTTCTTCTTTTAAAAAAAGACCAACCAATGGAAGCCTAGAGTGAAAAGGAGTCAGCAAAAGAGATCTTTAAGTCCCTTTGAGAGCACACCTGGCCGGGTCACCTTGAAGTGGGCTTTAATTGACTGGTAGACAAAAGAGCAGAACAAAAGTCCTTGAGAGAGGGGAGGGGAGGCTTCTTACCATTTGGCTTTTAAGAACTCCACCTTCCCTGACCTTATTATTGGCTCCTGGAATGAAGGTGCCAGTAATTCTGATTGCTTCCTTTCTTTTTTGTCCGATTCTGCTATGTTCGTAGAGTTGACTAAAGGAATGGAGGGTGGAGGGGAGACAACATTTTGCAAACATTTGGCAGAACATAAGCATTAGAATTCAATATTTTTTGAGGGGAGGATTTTCATTTTTGTTTAACTGCTAAATACTCAAAAGTTTGAAATAACTGCAACTTTTAATACCTGAAAGTGCTGTATCCATTTCTTCTTCTGACTAGCATCCAGTAGTTGTACAGTCATACCTCGGTTTTCGAACAGCTTAGTTCTCGGATGTTTTGGCTCCCGAATGCCTCAAACCTGAAAGTGACCGTTTCGGTTTGTGAGCTATTTTTGGAAGCCGAACATTCAACGGAGCTTCCACAGCTTCTGATTGGCTGCTGGAGCTTCCTGCAGCCAATCAGAAGCCAAGGTTTGGTTTCTGAACGTTATGGAAGTCGAACAGACTTTTGGAACGGATTCTGTTTGACTTTCAAGGTACGACTGTATAGTCCTTTCAGTTCCTGCAAAATACTTTTTAATTTTTTTAAAAAATTAATTAACTATTCAATTCCTTATAAAACTTTTTAAATATCCATATATCAATGGGGGAAATGTATCAAAGGAGCAGGCCAATTTTAGATTTGCTGGGGAATTCCCCTTCACTCCATTTTGACTCCATGTTAACTGGGCTTAGTGAGCGGGGAGATCCTGTGGAAGAGAGCAGTCCAGAATCAGAGGCAGAAGCTGAAGCAGGGGAAGAGGGAGGCCAAGAGGCAGAGATGAGTCAGGCTGGGGAAGGGTCACAGTTGTCTCCCCCTCCTGCTGCTACAAGGTCCCCTTCTTCCTTCTCTCCCAGAACCAGAAGAGGCATGAAGAGGGCAGCGGAGAGATTGGCTGCCTGCAGGTGCAGTCTCCGATTGCTTGGAAAAGGCCCTAGGGAGACAGGAGCTTTGTGTCGGCAACTGATTCATGTGACCAGACTTACTGGGGATGAGCTGCTGTGCTCATCAGGCCTGACACTCAGCAAAATCGGTGAAGATGGTGCTTTTCCTAATAAAGAGTTAACTCCAACTTTGAACAGTGTGATTTACTGCCAGCTCACACTTTGACACTGCAGGGCACCAGCTTGGGAAAGGCTATCTTACAGAGACAGAGGATTCATCCAACCTCTCCCTGTCCAATGTTTGTGGGACTTACTAATTTCTTAGATGGTTGGATGATTCACACATGGAATCTTGCAGACGACCAGTTACGTTAAATAAAGAAAGAGCATCTCCTAAAAGGGAAGTCCTTAACCTAGAAAATAAATAAAATAGTTGATAGGTAAAGGTAAAGGGACCCGTGACCATTAGGTCCAGTCGCAGACGACTCTGGGGTTGCGGCGCTCATCTCACTTTATTGGCTGAGGGAGCCGGCGTACAGCTTCCGGGTCATGTGGCCAGCATGACTAAGCCACTTCTAGTGAACCAGAGCAGCGCACGGAAACGCCGTTTACCTTCCCTCCAGAGCGGTACCTATTTATCTACTTGCACTTTGTGCTTTCGAACTGATAGATTGGCAGGAGCAGGGACCGAGCAACGGGAGCTCACCACATCAGGGGGATTCGAACCGCCGACCTTCTGATCGGCAAGTCCTAGGCTCTGTGGTTTAACCCACAGTGCCACCCACGTCCCAAAATAGTTGATAGCCATTGGTATATGGATCTGCACCAAATGTGGGTTAAGAATCTGCACGGCACACACATGTTTTCATTTCCTTAATGCCTGTTTGGTTTAGCTGCCGGTGTGTCAGAGGGAGCCTTGGGCTTTCTGTTATTTCTAAGCCACGGCGCATAAGCTGCTGCAGCCGAGAGGTCGGGGCTTCCCCTTCGGATCTGGGCTGCTTCCTCTGTTTGTTCTCCCCCTTTCTTCTCCAAACCGTTTAGTGGAACAGTCCTAAATTGCCGGCTCCAAATTAATAACTGGAACCTGGATTACTTCACCATCAGAAGCCTTGGCAGCTCAGCCCCCCTCCGATTGATTGCAGGTGAACGGCTCCCAATTGCTCTTTCCTGGGTCATGCCTCTGGCCTGCAGACCACCTGGAAGGCAGCATTTGTTAAATTGCCCCGAAGATCCCCTGCCCTCCCCTTCTGCCGCCCACTTCTCCGCTTCCTGGTCCCTATGTAAACCCGCCATCTCGCCCCTCAGCAGCACGCAGTGGCTTCAATTAGCCTTTTTACGAGTCAAGAGGCCATCTCGGCATCGGGCGTGCTTGCTTGGCGCACTCCCTGGGGCTATGCGCTCGGAACATGGGGGAAGCTCTGTTTATTTGGACGGCACGGCCAGCACATCTACTTAAAATGCTTCTCGGCTGGGAGACGTGGCCTGCTTAGGGTTAAGTCTGCTCTTAAAGCAATTTAATTAAAGCTGTTCAGATTCCTGGCCTGATAATGCTTTGCTGGATCTGACCAAGGTAAAGCCCATCTGGACCGGATGCCGTTTCCAGCTGCTGACAATCAAATGCTTCGGAAGAGTCTCAAAGTTTCCTGGGAAGTGGGATGGTTAAATCCAGACCCTCCAAGTGTCCCTGTTTTCCAGGGACAGTCCCAGATTTACAGAAGCCATTCCTGTTTCTGATATGATCCCAGAATGCCCCGCTTTTCCTTAGGATGTCCCTATTTTCATCAGAGAAACGTTGGAGGGCATGGCGTTATGTGACTCCCAAGCTGAGAAGATGAGTAACTATACAACCTTTAGAAGACATCTTGAAGGCAGCCATGCATAGGGAAGTTTACGGTTTTATTATATTTTTATATATGTTTGAAGCTACCCAGAGTAGCTGGAGCCACCCACTCAGTCGGGCGGGGTATAAATAAAACAACAACAACTATTATTATTACTACTATTACTACTACTACAGTGGTACCTCGGGCTAAATACTTAATTCATTCTGGAGGTCCGTTCTTAACCTGAAACTGTTCTTAACCTGAAGCACCACTTTAGCTAATGGGGCCTCCTGCTGCCGCCGCACCGCCAGAGCACAATTTCTGTTCTTATCCTGAAGCAAAGTTCTTCTTAGCGGAGTCTGTAACCTAAAGCGTATGTAACCCGAGGTACCACTGTACTACTATATATTTCCACCAGAGAAATGTTATGTGATCCCTGAGCCAAGGAGATAAGTAACTATACAACCTTTAGACAATCTGAAGGCAGACCTGTATGGGGATTTTTTTTAAAAAAAGTTTTATGTTTTATTATGTTTATATGTTGGAACCCTCCCAGAGTGGCTGGGGCAGCCCAGTTAGATGGGTGGGGGTATAAATAATAACATGATGATGATGGAATCGGACATCCCTATTTTTATCGGGAAAATGTTAGAGGATATGTAAATCGCTCTGGGAATTGCAGCTCAGCAAGGGGCAACAGGGGTGTGCTAACAACCTTCGCACCCTTAACAAACTACAGATCCCAGAATCTTTCAAGGAAACCAGGACTGTTTAACCTGCTTGGCTGGGGAACCACTTTGCGCATTGCAGGTTTTGGCAGATGGCTGTATTTTGGTTTGTATGTAGTTTAGGAAAATGCTAATCTGGTAGGTTTGCTTTTACAGGTGAACTGAATTGAGTGTCTCCTATTACCCTAGAGGCCTGGGAACGATCTTTCTTTCTCTGCCTGAGAGATTGGACATCTTCTGCCAGTTTCAGGAGGCAGGATGGAACAACATGGACCGATGGTTTGGTATCAGTCGACTTTATATGTCTTTTCTCTCCTCTAAAGGGTAAAGGGGACCCCTGACCATTAGGTCCAATCGTGAACGACTCTGGGGTTGAGGCGCTCATCTCGCTTTTTCGGCCAAGGGAGCCGGTGTACAGCTTCCAGATCATGTGGATATTATGACTAAGCTGCTTCTGGCGAACCAGAGCAGCGCATGGAAACGCCATTTACCTTCCCACCGGAGCGGTACCTATTTATCTACTTGCACTCTGACGTGCTTTAGAACTGCTAGGTTGGCAGGAGCAGGGACTGAGCAACGGGAGCTCACCCCGTTAGGGGATTCGAACCGCCGACCTTCTGATCTGCAAGTCCTAGGCTCTGTGGTTTAACCCACTGCGCCACCCGCGTCCCTTTCTCTCCTCTACCCCACTCTGTTATTCCTAAGGTTGTGCAAATCTATTACTCTCCTCATAAATATTCCCGTCAAAAAATGTTTCCTTGCCTATGTTTTTGGCAGCAGCAGCTGTTAGAAAATTCCCAAAGCCAGAGCATTGGCAATAGCCTTCCTTTGTGTGTGTGTTGGTCTCCTAACCTACCACAGAATATTATTAAACTTTTTTCCACTCTGCTTCTTTCCCCATCTACAGGATAGAAAAGACTTTGGTACCAAATTTGGACGCTGTGTGACAGAATGCAAAGACTATATGCATTTTATTATTATTAAGGAGCCTGATTTGAAATTAAACTTTTGCAGCAGTGAATTCGCCTCCTGAAGTGCTGTGAAAAGTGGGGAGGGCCTGAGGAGCTGTACCCAACCAGACATGCACAAGGCTCTCTCTGACTGATGCCTTCTTGACTGCAGGAAACCCAAACATCTGCTTTGATTCAGTCTTGATGGAACGCTTGCTTGTAAATTCATGACTTAATCAGGACTGCTGAAACAAATGGCACATACTGCGGTGAAGGGGGGAAGGGGAGAGATCAGAGACAACCACAGATCTGTCAGTGAATGCTGTAAAACAATGCCAAATCATAGAATCACAGAGTTGGAAGGTACCCCAAGCAAGGGGTTATCTAGTCCAACCCCTGCAAATGCAGCCATCCTATAGAATAAATAATAATAATAATAATAATAATAATAATAATAATAATAATAATTTATTATTTATACCCTGCCCATCTGGCTGGGTTCCCCCAGCCACTCTGGGTGGCTCCCAACAGAATACAGTGGTACCTCAGTTTACGAACTTAATCTGTTCCAGAAGTCCGTTCTTAAACTGAAACCGTTCTTAAACTGAGGTGCGCTTTCCGTAATGAGGCCTCCCGCCACCGGTGCCCTTCCACCGTTCAGATTCCGTTCGTAGACTGAGGTAAAATTCGCAAACCGGGACACTACTTCCAGTTTTGCGGAGTTTGTAAACCGAATTGTTCGTAAGCAGCGCTGTTCTTAAACTGATGCTTTGGAATTATGGTGCTGGAGGAGACTCTTGAGAGTCCCATGAACTGCAAGAAGATCAAACCTATCCATTCTTAAGGAAATCAGCCCTGAGTGCTCACTGGAAGGACAGATCCTGAAGCTGAGGCTCCAATACTTTGGCCACCTCATGAGAAGAGAAGACTCCCTGGAAAAGACCCTGATGTTGGGAAAGATGGAGGGCACAAGGAGAAGGGGACGACAGAGGACGAGATGGTTGGATAGTGTTCTCGAAGCTACCAGCATGAGTTTGACCAAACTGCGGGAGGCAGTGGAAGACAGAAGTGACTGGCATGCTCTGGTCCATGGAGTCACAAAGAGTCGGACACGACTAAACAACAACAACAACAACCACTGTATTAAAAACACGAGAAAACACCAAACATTAAAAACTTCCCTAAACAGGGTTGCCTTCAGATGTCTTGTAAAAGTCAGATAGTTGTTTATTTCCTTGACATCTGGTAGGAGGGTGTTCCACAGGGCGGGTGCCACCACCGAGAAGGCCCTCTGCCTGCTTCCCTGTAACCTCACTTCTCGCAGTGAGGGAACCACCAGAAGACCCTTGGAGGTGGACCTCAGTGTCCGAGCTGAATGATGGGGGTGGAGACGCTCCTTTAAAAACCAAGTAGTTTTTGGTTCTTTTCTTTTAAAGCTATTTTATAGATTTCTTAACAAAAATTAAGAAGTGCAAACGTAACAGGAAGGAAGAAAGCAATGAATAAAAAAATGTTAACCATAAGCAGCCCACAAGGACAAAAGGGCAAAGGCACAACGCATCTCCAAAGGGAATGATGAAAATATCAGCTTCTAGGAAGATTCCCTTCACAGATAATAAAATATATATATAAAAATGAAAGTATTCTCCGCCTGTGAGTTCCGTCATAATTGAGACCAAAGGTATAGCCTTAAAAGAAAGAGATCTCAGGGTGCTCTACAACATAAGATCACAATCTAAATACAACAAGATACATAGTAAACAACAACAACAACCCAATAATCCCCTCTCTTACAACAAATTTAAAAGGTCTTTAGATGTCAGTCAACGAAAGGCCTGATTGAAGAGGAACATTTTTGCCCGGCTTCTAAAGGTGTATAAGGATGGCACCAGGAGAGCGCACCCTCCAACATTTGTCCGATGGAAATAGGAATGTTCCATTTCATAGTGATTATTTTACTATTTATACCCCACACATCTTACTGGGTTGCCCCAGCCACTCTTGGCAGCTTCCAACATACATAAAAACATAATATAACATTTTTTTAAAAAATCCCCATGCAGGATTGCCTTCATACAGCTCGAGGGCTGGATAACTCCATGCCCTCCAACATTTCTCCCATGAAAATAGGGACGTCCTAAGGAAAAGTGGCTTCTGATGTATGGAAGTGAGAGCTGGACCATAAAGAAGGCTGATCGCCGAAGAATTGATGCTTTTGAATTCTGGTGCTGGAGGAGACTCTTGAGAGTCTCATGGACTGCAAGAAGATCCAACCTATCCATTCTGAAGGAAATCAGCCCTGAGTGCTCACTGGAAGGACAGATCGTGAAGCTGAGGCTCCAATACTTTGGCTACCTCATGAGAAGAGAAGACTCCCTGGAAAAGACCCTGATGCTGGAAAAGATGGAGGGCACAAGGAGAAGGGGACGACAGAGGACGAGATGGTTGGATGGTGTTCTTGAAGCTACCAGCATGAGTTTGACCAAACTGCGGGAGGCAGTGGAAGACAGGAGTGCCTGGCGTGCTCTGGTCCATGGGGTCACGTAGAGTCGGATACAACTAAATGACTAAACAACAACAACAAAGGAAAAGTGGACATTCCAGGATCAAATCAGGAATCGGGACAGCTTCTCTAAATCAGGGACGTCCCTTGAAAATAGGGACACTTGGAGGGTCTATAGGTGAGCCTTCCTGGGGAAAGCCTTCGACAAACGGGGAGCCACTGCAGAAAAGGTCCCGTTGCCACCCTATGGATCTCTTGTGGAGGAGGCACATGAAGAATGCTCTCAAAGGATGATCTCAGGGTCTGGATAGGCTCATATGGAGAGGTGGTCCTTGAGACATTGCTGCCCTGAGCCATGAACAATGTCTCTGCTGGCTCTGCTGCCGACCAATAAATCATCCCAGTGGCTCCAACTGGGAAAGTGCCACAAAGCTATGCATTAAAAAGCAGAGAACCCTCCTGTTGCCAAAATCCTTTTTCTGTGTCGGGGGCAGGGGGACCCCATTCCGAATGCCTCCTTAATACTTCCTTGTCTTTAATGTGGCCTCGGAAAGAGTATTAATTCATTAGCAGCTGCTCAAATATGAGGAATTGTGATGGGGAAGGGGGCAGCCACAATATATATATATATTTTATTAAGAATTTGGGAATTTAGCTTATATGCCCAGAAGATGGAACACATTTGTCAAAACGTTATTTATAAAATATTGGAATAATAAGGTGCAAGACACAATCAGCCAAATTACTTTGGGGGAATAGATAGAATAATTATTATTGCAGTTTAGTTTGCATGAATATTCTGTGGGAGTCCCCCCCTCTTTCCTTAGTGCAAATAGTTTATGTGGCTACATAAAAATATCATGTATTAAGGAAGCACAAGGCTACTAGCTGCAGTTCACCACTGGGAGCAAGGTTCACCTTATGTTCATGTGATAATTACTAATCCTCCTCCTTCTCAGTATTATTATTATTTTGTAATTTTTTGTACGCTCCTGAAGGAGCGTCTCCACCCCCATCGTTCTACCCAGACACTGAGGTACAGCTCCGAGGGCCTTCTGGCAGTTCCCTCGCTGTGAGAAGCCAAGTTACAGGGAACCAGGGAGAGGGCCTTCTCGGTAGTGGCACCCGCCCTGTGGAACGCCCTCCCACCAGATGTCAAAGAGATAAACAACTACCTGACATTTAGAAGACATCTGAAGGCAGCCCTGTTTAGGGAAGCTTTAATGTTTAATAGATTATTGTATTTTAATATTCTGGGAAACCCAGCCAGAAGGGTGGGGTATAAATAAATTATTATTATTATTATTATTATTATTATTATTATTATTATTACATTACACAGAACTGTAGAATCTTAGAGCTGGAGGGGACCCAAGGGTCATCTAGTCCAACCCCCTGCAAAGCAGGAATCTCAACCAATCTTTACCCATGACAGATGGCCACCCAACCTCTGCTTAAAAATACTCTCCATGGAAGGAGACTCACCGCCTCCCAAGGGAGACTGTTGCACTGTCAAACAGCTCTTACTGTCAGAAAAATTCTTCATAATATGTTTTGTTACTACGTGGGAGAAGAAAACCGCTTTCCTGCCTTTGTTAAGCTGCAAAGGAGACTCTGCATAATGTCAGACAAAAGGGATTGGGACGGATGCCACCAGACTTCAGTGCAACATGAAGCTGTCTGTGCCCTCCTGGGCAGGGAGAAATCAATGTTTGACAGCAGACAATTCCTTGGGGGTGGGGGGGATGTGTAACGCTGTAAAATATTCAGCGGGAGGGGGCTGGTTGCAATGGGGGGGTGGGGGGTGGGGTTGGAAGGCTCTGCCTCCGTCAGGACACAAGCACATGCCTTTGATTTTCTCTTTACGGCCCCCATGTTGAGTGATCTGTCTTATTGGCACCAAGTTAACTATTTTTAAATGATGCGGCAGCTGGCTCAACACATATTTCAAAGATTTATGCTCCGGCTTCTGGCTGGAAGGGGGAAAATTCTGGACCAGTTACTACCGTTTATCCCATATACAGATATGGGCTTCGTAAATTCGTCCCAGGCCATTCAGAGTGCAGAGTCTTCAGGAGCTAAAAACAGGGCAGTGAGGTAACCGAGACAGGCAGGGCAGAAGCAGCCGCCCCGGGAAAATATAGGACAGATTTGCATTTAAGAACATTAGGAATTGCTATGCAGAGTCCGGCCCGCCAGCCACCGAGCTCAGAGTTTGGCCAGCCGAGTTTGCACAAGTAAGGCAAGATGCAAGGTCCCTCCCTTTTGCTCCTCAATACTTTGGGCATCGTGCCCCAGCCAAAATCCCTGAAAATTGTGCTCTTCTCTGCTAGGCCAGTGGCCGGAGGACATCGCTGTAAACTGCTCAGATTGTGGTGTGAATAATGAAGACCACAATCTTCCTGGTCTTCCAAATCAGGTGGTCTTAGAGGACCAATCCTGTCGCAGCACCTGCTATAGGTCCAAGACTCTCCACACTCCTTCAATATACCCTCCAACGTTTCCCCAATGAAAATAGGGACATCCCATTCCACAATAATAATTTTTCTATTTATACCCCACACATGTTACTGGGTTGCCCCAGCCACTCTGGGAGGCTTCCAACATATATAAAGGTAAAGGGACCCCTGACCATTAGGTCCAGTCGTGGCCGACTCTGGGGTTGCTGCGCTCATTTCGCTTTATTGGCCGAGGGAGCCGGCGTACAGCTTCCGGGTCATGTGGCCAGCATGACTAAGCCGCTTCTGGCGAATCAGAGCAGCGCACGGAAATGCCGTTTACCTTTCCGCCAGAGCGGTATCTATTTATCTACTTGCACTTTGACATGCGTTTGAACTGCTAGGATGGCAGGAGCTGGGACCGAGCAACAGGAGCTCACTCCGTCGCGGGGATTCGAATAGCCGACCTTCTGATCGGCAAGCCCTAGGCTCTGTGGTTTAACCCACAGCGCCGCCCGGGTCCCTTCCAACATATATAAAAACATAATAAAACATTAAACATTAAAAAAAAAACCTTTCCTTATACAGGATTGCATTCGGACGGCTCGGGAGTCGGATAACCTTCCAACATTTCTTCAGTGAAAATAGGGACGTCCTAAGGAAAAGCGGGACATTCCAGGATCAAATCAGAAAGCGGGACGGCTTCTCTAAATAAGGGACGTCCCTGGAAAATAGGAACGCTTGGAGGGTCTGCAATCTGGCCTGTGAAGCCGTAATTTATTTTATTACTTGATTCATAAAATTTATTCACTGCTTGATTGGAAAAAAGAAAACCACCCTCAAAGCTGCTTTCAAAGAGAACAAAAGAATGAAACTACCAGTGAAAGCAATTCTTTGAAACATTCAGAAGATAAAATCGGCAATAAACTAAAAGCAGACTGAAACAAATGCCAGCATTCTACTAGTCTTGGAAGGCTTGCCTAAATGAAAATGTTTTAAGCAGGCACCGAAAACAGAATAGTGACGGAGGCTGCCTGATGTCAATAGGCAGGGAGTTCCAAAGTTCCCTCAGCAATTTTGCTGCAGCATTCAGCACGAACTGCAGCTCCCAGATCAAGCTTGAGAGAAGTGCCACACTAGACAGACAGTTCTTTTCATTTCTCTCCCACCCCATTTCCCCCCTTCCTATGTCCTGCTCAAGCCAAGGTCGTTCTTGAACCCCGTTAAATAAGGGGCCGTTTAGCAGCTGATGTCTAGCAAGGCTGCCTCCTTACGCTGAGGTCGTGCAAGGCTTGCAGAGAGAGGATTGCTGCGAAAGGGATTCGCTTCAAGTCTGCAGTAGGCTGGTGCTCGCCAAGCTTAGAGGTAAAGGTAAAGGGACCCCTGACCATTAGGTCCAGTCGAGGACGACTCTGTGGTTGCGGCGCTCATCTCGCTCTATTGGCCGAGGGAGCCGGCGTACAGCATGACTAAGCCGCTTCTGGCGAATCAGAGCAGCGCATGGAAATGCCGTTTACCTTCCTGCCTATTTATCTACTTGCACTTTGACGTGCTTTCAAACTGCTAGGTGGGCAGGAGCAGGGACCGAGCAACAGGAGCTCACCCCGTCCTGGGGATTCTAACCGCCAACCTTCTGATCGGCAAGCCCTAGGCTCAGTGGTTTAACCCACAGCGCCACCCACGTCCCGCTTGCCAAACTTACTCGCAGGGAAGCAAAGACCAAAGTTTTCAAAGCTGCGGGTGGCAGAGGGAAGAGTCAGAAGATCGGGGGAAGGCCTGGAGGGAAAAGGGTCCATTCTGGGAGGCCTCAGCAGAAGGAGACCCACAAGTGGTAAACAATTTACTTGCCAGGGTATGTGCTCCAGAGCTGGCATCATTCTCCCCCCCCCCCCTTTGGCACAAGGGATGTCAAAGCCCTTCGGAGTGCAAGATAATCTGTGGAGGGTTGAGAGCCAGAGGGATGTGTTTGTGATGAGATGAGGGAAGTGAAGTGCCCAGTTATTCCTCGCTCCAGCTTCTATTAATGTTACTGGCACCTCAACAGGTAAATTCACTCGGAAACACTTGGCCCATGAGGTCAGGCGGCAGGAATTGATCAGTCTAATTTTAAGCAAAGTAGTGTCAGGAACAAGGACCCGCCTGCACCCTGTTTTTACATTAGTTTAAGAGTCAAACAACACATGTTGAAGTCTACCACCTCTCAATAACCTTCTCCTGTTCTGATCTTCTTATTTTGACTCCTTTGCCCCGCAAGCTGGTGCGTTTGCAGTTTAAAAATGGAATTAAGTTGCAATAAGCCTTCTAATTAGGGTTGCCAGATCAGAAGAACATACCACCCAACATTTCTCCAATAAAAATAGGTACATACTAAATTATTATTATTATTATTATTATTAATAATAATAATAATAATAATACAGTGGTAACTTGGGTTACATACGCTTCAGGTTACATACACTTCAGGTTACAGACTCTGCTAACCCAGAAATATTACCTCAGGTTAAGAACTTTGCTTCAGGATGAGCACAGAAATCGTGCAGCAGGCGGCCCCATTATCTAAAGTGATGCTTCAGGTTAAGAACAGTTTCAGGTTAAGAACAGACCTCCAGAACGAGTTACGTTCTTAACCCAAGGTACTAAAGGTAAAGGTAAAGGGACCCCTGACCATTAGGTCCAGTCGTGACCGACTCTGGGGTTGTGGTGCTCATCTCACTTTACTGGCCCAGAGCAGCGCACGGAAACATTGTTTACCTTCCCGCCGGAGCGGTACCTATTTATCTACTTGCACTTTGACATGCTTTCGAACTGCTAGGTTGGCAGGAGCAGGGACCGAGCAACGGGAGCTCATCCCGTTGCGGGGATTCGAACCACCGACCTTCTGATCGGCAAGTCCTAGGCTCTGTGGTTTAACCCACAGCGCCACCTGCATCCCTAACCCGAGGTACTACTGTAATGTTAATACCCCACTCATCTGACTGGGTCACCCCAGCCACTCTGGGATGCTTCCAGCATTTATAAAAACATGACAAAACATTAAAACATTTTTTAAAAAAACTTGAAACATTTTAAAAAACTTCCCTATGCAGGGCTGCCTTCAGATTTCTTCTAAAGGTTGTATAGTTACTTATCTCCTTGGCTCAGGGGTTGCATAACTCCATACCCTCTGATGAAAATAGGGACGTCCTAAGGAAAAGCAGGACATTCAGAGATCAAACCAGAAACCGGGACGGCTTGTGTAAATTCGGGGCTGTCCCTGGATACTCCCAGCCCTGGATGTTTCAGGACCCAGGCCCAATGATGTCATGGGGGAAGCCCGTAGTCACATTACAGAGTGAGCCCAGGAGATGGAGGTTAATTGGGAGAGAGGAGCGGAGGAGGGCAGCCTTCCACCTCAGGTGTCTATCTGTATCCAGCTTCTGCCAGGCCTAAGCTTATAAACTTCATGCACTGTCTTCTCAATAACATGATTATTAAAGGCCTTCTCAACTACCTGGATATTCAATCGCTCCACCTGACACCTGGAGGGGATCAGACAAACCTGGAGACTGCAGATCAGACCTACTTCCAAGTGGAATTTCTTATGCCACTCTGTATATGAATTTATTTGAATTTTGTATACGTTTATACATTTGTGTGCATGCACATTTGTGTGTGTGGTGCATAATAGTTTTACATACGAAATTGTTTTGTGCATTGCTTTCATCATGGTGTGAAATCGCTTCAAGGTGCTTCGCAGGAAGCGATGCATAAATTAAGCGATAAAGAAAAGCATGAAAGCGACGTTAAAATGTGATGCAAAAGCTGTGCATTTAACGTCAGGTGTAGCTTGGCCCTGAGCTAGTCATTCTCTAACTGGGAGGATTAAAGCCAGAGCAGGTGGATGGATGAATGAGTTGCATGATCTGAGGCTCTTGTGAGCCCGGCATACCCGTGCACCGAGGAGGTTGCCCGTTGCATCTCTGAATGCTTTGTTCCAGCTTTAATTCAGAAAAAGTACCATGATTATAGGGATGCGGGTGGCGCTGTGGTCTAAGCCACAGAGCCTAGGGCTTGCCGATCAGAAGGTCAGCAGTTTGAATCCCCGCAACGGAGTGAGCTCCTGTTGCTCGGTCCCTGCTCCTGCCAACCTAGCAATTCGAAAGCGTGTCAAATTGCAAGTAGATAAATAGGTAGCACTCTGGCAGGAAGGTAAACGGCATTTCCGTGCGCTGCTCTGGTTTCGCCAGAAGTGGTTTAGTCATGCTGGCCACATGACCTGGAAGCTGTACGCCGGCTCCCTCGGCCGATAAAGCGAGATGAGCGCCGCAACCCCAGAGTCGTCCGCGACTGGACCTAATGGTCAGGGGTCCCTTTACCTTTCACATGATTATAGTCATCAGGGGCTGAACTCTACAATACTGCTGGATTGTTGTACGACCAAATACCCTCTCCACAATCCCACAGGCTTGGGAGAAGGGTTGTTCTCTTCCCTGACCTGCTAGCTTTTTTGAGAGGGAGGCTTTTGCTCTTGGTTAGATGGACGCAGAGTGGTTTATTATTATTATTATTCAAGACTTGTTGTGCTCCCCTCTGCTCCCCTTTTCTTCCCATCCAGGGCGGCCCTGCCCTCTGTCTGCCCCTCAGAGTTGGCACACCATGCAGGGCAGGGCCTTGGCAGTCGTGGCAACCTCTCCTCCTCCTCGCCTGTTCTCCAGAGCTTCTGCAAGCTGCCCACGAGAACGAGGCTGGCATCAGCGGCCATGGAGAGGCAAGAAGACGTTCCCTCACCGCTGCTGCTTGGGACAAGCACCGGCTCATACTCCTCTCTGAGCTTGGTGGCGGTAGCACTGACAATAGGGAAACGGGGATATTGCAGGATCAAATTGGAAGCCGGGATGGCTCTCGTAATTCTGGGACTGTCGCAGGAAAATCGGGATGCTTGGGGGGTGGCTTGTGGGCTTCCTGAAAGCACCCACCATCAGAAACAGAAAGTTGGACTCAGTTGGGGATTTTCTCATGCAGGTTAAGTCTAACTTCACGGCGGTGGGTACCAGCGTATGCCTGAGCCCTTTCTGAGAGTGACAGGCGCAGTCTCAACCGCCGCTTAGATACCCGGTCGTTTTGCAGTTTAGCAGGCCCCTCTTGTAAAATGCTTTAAAGCTCCTTCCTTCAACCTCACCCCCAACCCCTACCCTCTTGCCAAAACGGCCTTCATACTCCCCGGAGCCCAATTCAGTGTTCAATAGAGAACATTGCAACTTGCTGGTAAGTCTTTGGGGGTGCCTTTTTTCTTTCTTTCAGGCTAACAGGGGTTATGCTAATAAAACGAAAACACAAGGAATGTTTAAGAGGCTGCAGACCACACCGGCTACCTTTATTATTCAGGCGCAAGCTTAAGAATGCTGGTAAACCTGATGTGCTGGCAGGGCAGCCGGCTTGCGGCTAATTCTGTTAATGGCCTCCCTGCTATCTGCCATACGGGAAAATGCAAACCACACACACAGAAGGGCTTCGTTTTGATCTGGCCACGAATTCACACAGCTCCCAAGGGGGGGGGGGGGAATAGCAGGACAGGGAGATGCCCTTGGAAAGAGCATTATTCCTCTCCCCTGAATGCACGCACATGCGCTTGTGTGCTCGGTCTTTCCTCCATGGAGTTCAGAGGAGACTCTATAAGACAGAGGGGTAGGGAACCCGGTGAACCTCAAATGTTGCTGAACAGCAACTCACATCAGCTCCATCCATCAGTTGCTTAGACCAAGGTTGCAGGTTTGATCCCCGTATGGGACACAGCGTATCCCCCCCCCAATACTCTTACATTCAGCATCTTAATGTTTTCTTATTTACCTTGCGCTTTGTCACGCTCGGACTTCCTTCCTTCCCTGCTTCGGCTTTCCCAAATTAACATCCACTCATACAGATTCTTATTTACACTCCATCCACATCACAAGATTTAAGTTCTTCTGGCGGTTCCCTCTCTGTGAGAAACCAAGTTACAGGGAACCAGGCAAAGGGCCTTCTCAGTAGTGGCACCCGCCTTGTGGAACGCCCTCCCACCAGATGTCAAAGACAACAACAACTACCAGACTTTTAGAAGACATCTGAAGGCTGCCCTGTTTAGGGAAGCTTTTAATGTTTGATGTATTACAGTATTTTAATATTTTTTTTGGAAGCCGCCCAGAGTGGCTGGGGAAGCCCAGCCAGATGGGTGGGGTATAAATAATAAAATTATTATTATTATTATTATTATTATCATCATCATCATCATCATCATCATCGTCATCATGTTAACCCTGCTACAGTTTTTAAGCTTCTACAGTTATTCCGTATATACACAACAAATTTACTCCACTCCTCTTCAAACTTTGTTACTTTTTGGTATCTAATCTTATTAGTCATTTTCGCCAACTCAACATATTCAAACATTTTCATCTGCCGCTCCATTAACGTTGGGATCTCCTGGGTTTTCCATTTCTGGGCCACGAGAAACCTAGTGGCGGTTGTAGCATATGTAAATAACTTACGATCCTCTTTTCTTACTTCATCTCCTATTATCCCTAGTAAGAAAGCCTCTGGTTTCTTTGGGAATGTCTATTTAAACAGTTTTTTAATTTCTTTATATATCAAATCCCAAAAGTTTTTCTTTTTTTTTGCATGTCCACCACATGTGGAAAAGTTCACCCTCTTTTAATTTACATTTCGCAGCTGGAAATGGAAATGGACAGCTGCGTATTCCTGCATTGCAGGCAGTTGGACTAGATCAGGGGTAGGCAAACTAAGGCCTGGGGGCCGGATCCGGCCCAATCGCCTTCTAAATCTGGCCCGTG